TAGAGAGTCCTGGGGGCACTGGGCAGGGAGGGTTTGCAGAGGCACTGCCCTCCCAGCAGGTGATAAAATTACCTGACCACAGGGAAACAGCGCTGATAGTTTTCCAGGTATGTTCTGAAATGTTTCAACAGCCGGTCCGCTGGAGGGGATGTGGAAGAAATCACCTTATCGCAGTAACAACTTCCAGTTCCACTCCCCTGGTTACCATACCCTGAGCAGAAAAGGTGGTCAGCAGATTCTCAGGTCAAAGGGCTCCTCAGTTGTAACTTCACTTCTAACCCACCTGCCAGTTACAGCTTCTCCTGCAAGACACCAGGGTCTGACCTCCTGGTTCAACCCACACACCCCTCCTCCCCGCAAAGACGTCCACAATCCCACCTGAACCTGGGTGCTGTCCCAGTCTGTCCCCAGCACCAGGTAGTTGGCCTTCCTCCTGTCTTGAGGACACTGGTTGCGACTGGCTCCCCCCTATTCAACTCAACCCCACAGGACCTAGTAACCCAAAACCTACCCCTCCCTCTTGACTTGGGGAACTGGGCCCCAGCCCCGCCTCTGACGAACCTGGCAGAGTCAGCAACGCTAGCAGGAGCAGCAGCAGCACGCGGAATTGGGGAGCCCCGACCTGCCACATCTCTCTTGAGTCACCTCCCTCAGTCTGATTTCCTGAAACGGGGTCTGATTTCGTTAAAACGCTCCCGAGACAGCAGTCCAACGGATCTCAAACTTTCGTTTTCTTCTCCAGCTCCACTTGGGGTTCCAGGAGGAGTGGGGGCTGTCTCCTCGGCGCCAAGCTCCGTCAGGTCGAGGAGGGCACGGGTCGCTCGCACGGACTTCAAACGACCGCGAGATGGGTAGGACAGTCGACGCCGTGAGGCTCCGCAGCGGGGTAACTCCTGGAGGCGGAGCTCCCGCCCGTGCCCCGACAAGCCCAGAGCCTTTCAAACGTGGGCTGCCGAGGATGTCTGGGGAAATTTAAAGAAAACTCGGGCTGGAGCCCGGCCAGGCAAGTTAGGAGGGCAGTGGCCGAGCAGAATGATTAGGGTTCAGTAAACACCAGGTGCACTGCCAGCATTCCTGACCCAGGTCAGCCGAGCCAGCGACAAGCCTGCTCCCGCCCTCCTCTCTAAGACGCTTTCACTTCCCGGGCTGGGGTCTGGGCTGGGCGTCGCGATGTCCAGTCACATGGCCAGCACCCAGCCGGCTGGAAAGCCGGAGCGCGCGCCGCCACACCTACACCGGCCGGGGAGAATCGACCACTCAGGCGGGACTCAGGGGGCGTGGTCTACGAAGACAGAGGCCGTGGGCTCGGGCAGCCCTGACGTCACGACGCACCTCCCATCCACGAGGTATTTACCTTCGAAAAGTGGTGGCGGCTGCAGGTACCGGAGTAAGGGGGCGGTGACCCGGAGGGGCTGGGTCTCCTGGGACTCACCTTCAAACTGATCCAAGCCCATGGAATGTCCTGGCTCCTGTTCCTCCTCCAACAGCCCACAGATGGGTCCAAAATTCTTCCCTCACCAAGCCCTTCCCGATAAGATTAGCCCTCTTCAACCTTATTTTCACTTTAAACCTTACTCTTAAGAGTTTGAGTCTCAAATATTGAGCCCCAATACCATCTCCCACCTGAGTACATTTTTAACACAAAATCACGCACTTTCAGGTCCAGTCTCTTTCCCATCACTGAACTTCCATCTCAGCCTGAAAAGCCCATTCTCAGCTCCAAACATTCATCCATAGAGTCCTCCCAAAGTGATGGGTCAAAGCCATACCCTTTCCCATTTGTGACCCAGCCCCAAACTGGCACCACTACCCTCTCAGTCACTATATATCCCTTTTTTCACTCAGTCTGGGCCCAGGCCCTGTGCCCCTGAAGACATGGAGTTTGTGTCTGGATACCGGGATGAGTTCCTTGATTTTGCTGCCCTCCTCTTTGGCTGGTTCCACAAGTTTGTGGCTGACCGTGGAGCTGTGGGAGCCAGCCTTGAGGGCCGCTGGCGACAGCTGGAGACTCAGATCAGAAGGCTGCCCCAGGACCCTGCCCTCTGGGTGCTCCATGTCTTGCCCAACCGTAGTGTGGGCATCAGCCTGGGGCAAGGGGCAGAGCCAGGCCCTGGACCAGGCCTGGAGGCTGCCCGGCTCCTGGGAGATGAGCCCCCACTCCACCTGCGAGACCTGAGCCCCTATGTCAGCTTTGTCAGCCTGGAGGAAGGGGAGGAGGAGGAAGAGGAAGAGAATGGAGGGGAGGTGGGTGCAGGCACAGAGAAGGTAGGACCAGAGGAAAATGGGGAGCCAGGTCCTACCAGCAAGGAGTCCCCCCAGGAAGCAAAGCCTCCAGGAGAGCCAGAAGATGGTGAGCAGGAGGCAGGAGGTGGTGAGGATTGCTGTCGAGAGGACAAGGCAGAAGACGAAAAAGGGCCTGAGAGGAGGAAGGGTCGGAGAAATGGTGAGAAGCTAGGGCAAGCCCTGTGTGGGCCCGGCCCCTCCCCTTGCCCAGCACACTCCCTTCTGACGCTCCCCTGTACCACTCAGAACCCAGTAGGACATAAACAGGTGGACTTCTGGCCAATATGGCCTGAAAAGGTGTTTTGCTTGACCCACAGTGTTTTTTTGTTTTTTGTTTGTTTGTTTGTTTTTTTAATTTGACCAACATCTAAACACTGAAGAAGGAAATCCCCACAAATCTGGATTTACACCATCTCAAGAAAAATCTAAAGTTCTGACAATAGGCCCACATTTCTGATGACAGCAAATGCTGGTACTGTGTCACTGCTGTGCCCTTCAGATGGGGCATGTCCTCTCTGTCTAGTCCCCTTTACTCACTTGTTTTCTTACCTACTCCCATGGGCATTTGAGTTTGGTACCCCAGACCCTGGCCAACTTTCTGTTTGCTTAATTGTTGGGGATCTTCCTCCCCTTCACCCCATCTTTACAGGCAGCTTACCAGGGTGTCAGCTTTGCCATCTCTTACTTCTAACTGCCCCTTTTTTCCCTAGAGGCTGCCCCGCTGCACCTTTCCTGTCTCTTACTGGTGACAGATGAACATGGGACCATCTTAGGCATCGACCTGCTAATGGACGGAGCCCAGGGGAGTGCAGGCAGAGGCTCAGGGACAGAGAACCTGGCTCCCCGAGCCTACATTCTCCTTTGCCACAGCATGGCCTGCCCCATGGGCTCTGGAGACCCCCGAAAGCCCCGGCAGCTGACTGTGGGAGACGCCCAGCTGCATCGGTACAGGAGTTTGGTATCTGAGGGTGTGGAGGCTTAGGGGCCAGACTCTTGAGCCCCCCAGCCTGATGCCTTCTCCACCCCCATCCAGAGAGCTGGAGAGTCTGGTCCCCAGGTTAGGAGTGAAGTTAGCCAAGACTCCAATGCGGACATGGGGCCCCCGACCAGGTTTCACCTTTGCCTCCCTTCGGGCTCGAACCTGCCATGTTTGTCACAGGCACAGCTTTGAAGTGAAGCTGACACCCTGGTAAGCTGCCTGTAAAGATGGGGTGAAGGGGAGGAAGATCCCCAACAATTAAGCAAACAGAAAGAGAAAGCAGGGGGGTGGGGGCTCAGCACACAGTGAATAATATGGACATAAGATGAAAAAAAAAAGCTGTTACAGGTAGAAAGGATACAGACCAACCACTAAGTATGGGGCTGACAGCATAGACAGACACTAACACTGGGTACCCCCCACACCCCTGTGACTCCAGTCCCCAGTGTAGTGCTGTCTTATACTGTGGAGAGGCTTGTCTCCGGGCTGACTGGCGCCGATGCCCAGATGATGTGAGCCATCGATTTTGGTGCCCAAGGCTTGCAGCCTTTATGGAGCGGGCAGGAGAACTGGCAACTCTGCCTTTTACCTACACTGCAGGTATAAGATCAGTGGGCTGTGGGTGGGGTCTCTGGGAATAGGGCCTGTTGCCAGGGAACGGGGTCCTGGTGCGTAAGGCTAACTGCCTAGGACTAGTGTAAATCCCTGGAATAAGAGCTGGATCCTGAGTGTGGTTGGGGGCCAGACCTGGGGCTGGAGACAGGGTCTCTGGGGCTGAGATTAAGTGCCCAGGTCCCTGAAAGTGCTGAGGGAATCTGGGAATAGGAATTCAAACACTAGCCTCTCAGATAACTGGCAACCTTGAACAGATTACCTAACTTCTCAGAGCTTCAGTTTCCTCATTTGTATAATAGGGATACTAACAAATGCTAAAATCCATAGAGTTATAAGAACTGTATGGATTCAATGTCTGCTAACTGTAGATACTCAGAAATGTTAGTTCTTTCTCTGACTAGAACCAAACTCAGAGCAGGGTGCTTGCAGAGGCTGAGGAGAGTTAGTCTGGGGTCCTAGCCATCAGGTTCCAACACCTCCCTTTCTGCTTCTCCAGAGGTGACCAGTGAAACCTTTAACAAGGAGGCCTTCCTGGCCTCAAGGGGCCTCACACGTGGCTACTGGACCCAGCTCAGCATGCTGATCCCAGGCCCTGGTACCCCCAGGCACCCTCGGGGCAGCATACCATCCCTCAGCTTTCTTCTCAGTGGTACGTGGACCCTCTCTTCAGGCATGGGTTCCTTGGCCTCGATGGAAATGAGAAAAACATGTCTAGGTCACAGATAACCCCTCCACATTTACACCAAACCCCACTACCACCATCGGGACCATTCCAGGCCTCTCCCCAACCCTCAGGAGTCACCCTACTTGTGGCTTCCATAAGCCCTACCTCTAGGCAAACTCCTGTTCTTCTACTGCTCCAGACCCTGTCTTAGGGATTACAACCTCTTTGGAAGGAAAAAGGGGCCAGGCCAGGAGAGGGTCTCCCTGACCTTAGATTCCTCTTCCTTTCATCCTTTCAGGAGATCCCTACCAGCTTCTCCAAGGGGATGGGCCTGCCCTGATGCCTCCTGTGCCCTCAGATCCACCCAGGGGCCTCTTTGGTGAGTTGGAAGAACTCTGAGTGAGGTAACAGAGTAGGAATTGGGACTGGAGGACCAGTGGCCTGGGTGATGGAGAAAAGGGGCTATTGGACTGGACGGTCTGGGGTCGGGGCCTAGAGCCAGGTCACTCAGTAACCCTCTGTCCCCAGGCTCTTGGCAGGATTACTACACATGGCGGGGCCTCAGCTTGGACTCCCCCATGGCTGTGCTTCTGACCTACCCACTGACTGTGTACTACGTCATCACTCACCTGGTGCCCCAGTCCTGTAAGGAGAGCTGACACAGGGGAAGGAGCATGCCGCAAAGGGAACAGGGAGCTGGTGGGGGACAGGAGGAAAGGAGGGGAAGACCCTCTGCTTAAACAGCTAGTTTTTCACCAGTCCCCGAGCTCAACATCCAGAACAAACAATCGCTGAAAATCCATGTGGTGGAAGCTGGGAAGGAGTTTGACCTTGTCATGGTATTTTGGGTAAGTCCCTCCGGACCTGAAGGTCGGGCATTTGGGGTGCTGGCAGGATACAGTGCAAGACCAAGGTCCGTCCTTCCACGTTCTTCAGGAGCTGTTGGTCTTGCTCCCCCACGTGGCCCTGGAGTTGCAGTTTGTGGGTGATGGCCTGCCCCCAGAAAGTGACCAGCAGCATTTCACCTTGCAGAGGGTGAGCACTGAGATGCCCTGCTTTTCAGCCCTGAGGTTCCTCGGGTTCTCCTGATGGGGCGCTGCCCTTCCTACTCTTTCCTCAACCCCTTCCTTTCTGATGGAATCCTTCAGTGCCCTAACTTCCGGTAGTTTCCCCACCCCATTCTTGGTTTCCTAGGATGGCCCTGAAGTGTCTGTCCGCTCAGGCATATCAGCACGGCTCAGCTCAGGAACTAAGGAGAAGGGCAGTCGCAGGGACTTGCAGATCAAAGTGTCTGCACGGCCTTATCACCTGCTCCAGGGGCCCAAGCCCGACTTGGTTATTGGTAGGAGCCTGGAGTTGTAGTGTGGGCGCGGAACTTGGGATGCGGGAGGTGGCAAAGAAGACCATGGGACTCAAGTTCTCCGTGCTCTCCCTCCTTGGCAGGATTTAACTCTGGCTTTGGTCTCAAGGACACTTGGCTGAGCTCGCTGCCCCGCCTACAGGTGGGGGTTGCAGGCATCAGGGGCCACGTCTTACCTCCAGTTCAGTCCCTCCTCCTAGCCTTAAAGTCTCTTCTTGCCCGCCATCTGCCCTGCAGACGGGGCGCGCCCATGGGTCCTCTTGCCCCTCTCTGTGTCGGCCTGGTGCCTGCCTCTCTCCACCCTGCTCATTAGAGCCCTAGTTTCCCACCCAGACGCAGTAGCTCGGGGGTTTCCGACGCAGGAGCCTCGCGGGTCTCTGAGGCCCCGCCCCACTCTCCCCAGTCCCTCCGCGTGCCCGCCTTCTTCACCGAGAGCAGCGAGTACGGCTGTGTGATGGACGACCAGACCATGGCGGTGGCTACCGGCGGGGGCACCAGCCCTCCACAGCCCAACCCTTTCCGCTCCCCATTTCGCCTCAGAGCCACCGACAACTGCATGCCCTGGTAGGGTCCCAAGACCCTCCCTCTTCACTCCTGGGCCCTTAGCTTCACTCCCGTTCCGAGTACTAAAACGCCCATCTCTACGCTGGTCTTCGTTCTCCTGGGACCCCCCCCCCTCCCCACTCCAGGCTATGCAAGCCGCTTCCTGTGCTCAAACTGCTCATCACTACTTACTCCCGCCACCCCAGGTCTCCACACCTCTCCCGCACCCTCACCCCCAATTTTGACCCAGCTCACGACATCTCTGCAACTCCTCACCCACCGCCCAAAGGACCCGACCACCCCGATCTGGCCGCAACTAACCCAGCTCCAGAACTCCGGCCCGCAAGCCCTTAGGGAATCCCGGCGGGGGTCCCGCCCGTGACAGCCCCCGCTCCCCTCAGGTACTGCAATGCCTTCATCTTCCACCTGGTCTACAAGCCTCCGCAAGGGAGCGGGGCCCGCCAGGCGCCCGGGCCGGCGCCCCCAGCCCCAACTCCCGCCGCTCCTCCGGCCCCCGCCAGACGGCGCCGCGGAGAAAAGAAACCTGGGCGGGGGTCCCGCCGGCGGAGATGAGGGACAAGCTATAGCAGGGCACCCCTCTCCCTACACACCTCAGAAAGGGAAACGAAACACCCACCGCCAAGGGGGAGACCGGTTGATGGAACACGAAAAGGTAAATAAAATGACTGTTCGAAACCACGGAGTCATTGATCTGCGAAAAGGATTTAGGGGTGATTAACATCCGTCCTGTTTCTTTCAGTCCCTTGACCACTGTCCCGCTTTTACTGGGGACTCTGGTGCCCCTGGGCATTCCCAAACTTCTACAAATAAACGTATGTGTCCATAGGTCATTTTCCAGCTCCACTAATCCTCCGGACTGACCGAGGCAAGGCAAGGCCAAGAGTGAAAAATGGCTTGTCAGTAGCTGCAGGGGAGAAGACAAGCGCTCCCAAGGGCATAGAGACCTTCTGGTTTCGATTCAGTGCCATTCAGTGACCGGCCCCAGTCCCCCAACTGTCCAAGTTAGAAACCTGGCGGCCACCTAGACGCCACCTTCTCACAGCCCCCAGTCCAATAAAGAACCACACCTGCTAAATCCAGCTGCTAAGTCACCCAAATCCCCTGCTCCTAGCCTTCCCACTGCAGTTGCCGCTGTGGCTAGTGTCCACATTTCAGTGGGAGAATTCCTTCTAAAACAATCATCCAAATACACCACTCTCCTGCAGAAATCCCCTCAGTACCGTATTCCCCTTTTAAAATCTCCTTAAATGGGGGGCTGGTCTTAGTGACTCCAGTCACTAAACATTGAAAGGGAAAAAACGGGAGCAATGTAGCTGACACCACTTTAACCAAGGGGTTATAGTGAACAAGAAATAAAACATCATATTGGCATCATGTGCTCCCTGGCCTGATGCAATGAGAAGCTCACATCCACCTTAGAGCTACCTTCCCCCAAATTCATAACTCCGTGAATCATGAGAAAACATCAGACAAATCCAGATTGTGGGAGTCTAATATACCTGCTCACTCTTCCTCAAAAGTATAAAAGTCACAAAAGGCAAGGTCAGCCGCGACAGATTGGGAGACTGAGGAGACGTGACAACTAAATACAGAATGGCATCCTGAAATGGATCTTGGAGCAGAAAAGAGGATATTAGTGGAAAAAACTGGAGAAATCTGAATAAAGTTTATATTTTGATTAACAGTATTGTATCAACATTGATTCCCTAGTATGACATATGAGATGCCTTTCTGTCATTCTCTTATTATAAATAAATGTACAGAAAGGCTCAGACAGCATAATGAATCCCTATCTATACATCACTCAGCTCCAACAATTAGCAGCATGTTCTCTTGCTACTATTACTTCCTGTGATACTGTCATATAAGAAAGGGATATTCGGTGTTTGTCCCAGGTTCCTGGCACAAGAGCTCTTAAAATCCTTGTATTTCCTAAGTCAGAAAGAAATGGAAAATACTGGATGGTTTCACTCATAGCAGGAGCATAAACGAGGGGGAGGGGTGGAGAAGAAGGGGAATAATAATGAACAGCTATATATGAGAGACATTTTACATTTTACAGGGGTGGAGTGGGAAATGGGATCAAAAAAGGGGGTAGGGATGTGCACAGGACTATGGTGATGGCACACGGATGAATTGGTGATGGGAAGTCCACAGGGATTACAACTGAGATGGAAAAAGGCACAAAATGATGCAAAAATATTATAATACTTTTATAAAATCCTTGTATTTCCTGAGTGGTAGAGGTGAGAGGAGTCTCTTCTGTTATTCATAATAAGTCCCTTTCAACCATATCTGAGTTTATGCAAATGAGGGGTCTTCAGGAAGGAGGCTGGTTGCTGGAGAAAGCAGTCCTATAATTAAGAGGAATGGAATTTTCAGCATACCCCTCAAACCCGGGTTGGGGGGTGGGGAGAAGTGTGGAGCTAAAGACTGAGTTCATTATGAAGGCTGTGAGTTAACCAGTCATGTCTTTGACAGCCTAAAGGGCTTCCAGTTTTAAAAAGATACTCTAAGTGGGTTCAGAGAGCTTTTGGGTTAGTGGCTGCACTAAAGTATGAGGTTGGCACACCTAAGAAAACATGGAAGCTCCATGCCAGCCCCATCCCCATTTTTGTCTTCTGCATACTTCACAACAAATTAGTAACAGCAAATTCTTTTCCTGACTTCTGCGAGGCATTTGAAAATGATCAAACCTTAGGAGAGATTCATGGGAACCCCAGTCTGTGGTTAGGAAGCCAGAAGGTTCAGTAATTAGGACTGGCATCTGAAGGTGGCAGTCTTGGGCGATGGAGGTCAGTCTGGGTATTTAGTGTCAGATTTTAGCGACTGCAGGACACCAGTTTGTGTCAGCATAGTTGTATAGTTGGTTGGAGTGGTGAGAATAAAAACCACATATTTGGTGTCAGAAGTGCTGATAATTAGTAAAACTGGTAATAGTGGTGTCAGGAGAGTCAGAAGATTGGCCCTACCTCAGAGAAATGTGTGGTCTGGAAAGAGAAAGGACAAAAGAGAGGGGTTATTATCAGTAAAATTTAGAGTTGAATACAATGTCCAGCAAGTTGCTTCAATGGAGCCCTCCCTGGTAATGCAAGGGGTTAAAGCATAGCACTACAAAGCTATCCACAGTCACTGCAGCAGGAGTTCCATTCCTGGCCAGAGAGGTGACCCACATGCTCAGCAGACCTCTCCTCACTTGCGCAGTGCTCCCCTCAGCAGTGTCTTTCATTCGATCTGCCTGTTCTGCTCCCCACTCTGTCTCCCGTGAGTACTCTCACTCCCCCGTACCTCTGGCCTGTACCCCAGTTCTTGTATGCAAAAATAAACAAATCTTTTTTAAAAAAAGGAAATTGTTTCAATGGACACAGAAAAAAGTGCAAACTAATAAGAAAAAAACAAAATATTTAATCCCCTAGTTATCTGCTATAGCTAAAATTAAAAGAGCATTCTGGTTTAGCACTTGATGCTAGATTAAGCTAATTTTTTGTCATTCTGTTTCCGTCATAAGCCTCAAAGCTATCCATAAAGTAGAAACTTATTCTGGAACAGAAAGTACATCTAAAGCATCATGTTGACCAAGAGAGTGGTCAACTTGGAGCAGGCGGTATGGTGCAGGGCAACTAAGAAACCGCTGAAACCAGAGGAATTGCCTCATTTTGTAGATGGTATCACCCATCAGCTTTGTGAGAGTGACTAATTTAGGGACAGTCTTTGGTTTTAAATGTTACAGAGTAGAAGAGCATGTGTGATATAGGACCCACAGCTCCCTATCAATCACAGGTGACTAGATAGGGTCAGAACACAGAGGAGGTTATTCCTCAAGAATAATCCTAACACCCACCAAGAGTCACTTCATTAGCATAAATTCAGGTATGGTTGAAAGGGGCTCCTCTCACCCCATCACTCAAGAAAGTTGAAGAATTGTAATAATTTCTGCTCCAGGAAGCTGGGGTGAAGACCAAATAGGCATTTCTTTTTTTTTTTTTTTAAGATTTATTTATTTATTCGTACAGAACTGGGGTACAGGCCAGAGATGCAGAGGGTGAGAGGATTCACCAGAGACAGAGTGGGGTACAGAACAGGCAGGTGGACGAAGTACACTGCTGAGGGGAGCAGCAGGCGGGTCAGGAGAGGTCTGCCCGCCATGTGGTCACCTCCGGGGCAGGCGGGGATCGAACTCATGCAGAAGTGGCTTAAGCTTCTTAGTGCTGTGCTTTAACCCACTGCGCCACCAGGGAGGGCCTGGCATTTCTAATTGTATCACAATAGCACACTCCTGCCTTTTTCCAGAGTGTTTTAAAGCACACACCAGGTATCAATCATCTCACTTATATGTACCTATAAGTAATATGGCCTTTCAAAATGTGTGACTACCATTACCAACACCAATCAACAACTATTTTTTAATGTAATATCCACTTCATTTTCAAATATTTTCAATTACCACATATTTGTCTTTGAAACCAGAGGAGATATTTTGTTCCAATCAAGAAATAAAATCAACAGACGTACAACTTCTAAGTGTCTTGTATCTTAAATAGACCTCTCTAAGTCCCATCCCCTTTTTTAATGCCACTGATTCATAAGAAACTGAATTCCTATAGAATGTTCTGGATCTGTTACTTCCTCGGGGTGTTTTTAATTTGTGTATCAATCTTCTTTAATTCCTGTAAACTGTTAAGTCTAGACAAGATCTTTTTAATGTGGTCATGCCAAACCCTGCAGGCTGATTTCATGCCACTTCCCGTCCTCTCTCTACTCTCCAGCCAGACACCTCTGAAAACACTAAAAATGAAACACTGCATGCTCTCATTGTAAAACTTCCCCCATTTTCTTGCTCAACTAATTCCTTCTCAGACAAAAAGCCTTTTCCTGAGGAGGGAGGACTTCCTTGATCCCAAGTGAGATAGCCCTCTCCTGCTAAACCCTCCTGGCACTTCATATGTCCCCTATATACAGACATAAAAGGTCTAGGCTCCTGGAAGGTTGAGGTGAAATGGAACTTTTCACCATACCCTTAGCTGCTGAGGGGAGCAGCGAGATGACAGGAGAGGTCTGCTGTGCCATGTGGATCAGCTCCCTGATTGAACTCCTGATACAGTGGCTGAAAGTAGCTTGATAGCGCTAAGACTAAACCCTTGTGTCACCAGGTAAGTCCCTCAAATGACATTCTTTAAAGTGAAATAGAATGAAAACAGATATTATATGTACAAGTTGTGCTTTAATGTGTGCATATTGTGCAACATCATGACATAAAATATATGTCATATGATGACCCGGTCAAGCTATCTGAAAATTACTGACCTAGAGGGAAGCCTGAAAGAAACAAAGAATTAACAGGAAAACCACAGAGCAGTGTGACTGGTCTGTTGATGAAAGAATTATGACTCTTAGAGACACAGAGGAGACACAGCCTGAGGGTGGTTTCCCAGAAGAAATGACCTGTAAGCAGTGACGTGAAGGACAAATAGTAGTTAGCCAGGTAAGAAGGACAGAGAAAATAGTAATAGCATGTGCAAAGGCCCCGGAGCAAAAGTAAACAAAGCACTTTCAAAAAGCAAGAAGTTGGGATTTAAAATGAGATAAGACTCCCTTACATTCATTATTTGCTATCACATTACTCATGTATTTTCTTTGAGCACTTATCACAATTATTTTATTATCTCATTCACTTACTT